ATCGAGAGATAAGTTTTTTCAAGCCTCCCCTAGGAAAACTTGAGTCTTATCTAAATTAAGAAGGATCTTGCCTAATAAGTAAATTACTCGAAAATTTTAATAATAATAATAATAATAAATGCTATAAAATTAATAGTGGTATTTTGTTGAATAAGAAATTATTGGTGTATAACATAAGATAGGAATACATTGATTGTAACCTAATTTTGAATTTTGTCTAAATTATTATGATCAATGTCATTAAAACAGCTCCTTGTCGGAATAATGTTTTTTTTTCCTATCAATAAAAACTTAAATTTTAAGAAACAATAATAAGATGAATTTATTTTATTATAATAATTTTATGTGGTTTTTAAATAAGTTGATTTATATTATTTTGAATTTTTTTATTAACAAAACATTAGTATTGGTTTGGTTGGATTATATTTATGGTTTATTTAAATATTCACCGTCATATTTTAGAAAATCTTATTTTTAAACACGTTTTTTTTTTATTACGAATACGAAATGAAACCAAATTAAAATTAAAAGGCACAAAAAAAAAAAAAAACCAATTAATGTACAATACACGCTCCTACTACTTCGGCTGCTATTGCTAATAACAATTTAGAAACAACCTCATCCCACCGTCGTTTACTGGCTGGCTCCTCCGCCGCAAGTCCCCTCCGAAACTGACGGCGACTCTGTAACTGAGTCAGTTCCGTCATGGAACGGCGACACCTCCATCCCTCGGAGCTCCTCAATCATCTTCACCACATGGCTCATCTTCGGCCGTTGATCCGGCGAAGCCGATGTACAGGCCAAGGCGATCTGCAGAAGCCCCACCATTTCCTCTTCGATGTCTTTGTATCTCATCAGCTCCAAATCAAACACTTCAGCCGTCCACTCCTCTCGCACCACCGACTGAACCCACCGGGGCAAATCCAACACGCCGCCGTATCCACCGCCATTCTCCATAACGGAAGGGCACTTTCCAGTAAGCAGCTCGAGGAGAAGAACCCCAAACGAGTACACATCCGCCTTCTGTGTCAGTTTTCTACCCTCACCGCACTCCGGAGCCCGGTAACCGTTGGATCGAGGAGTGGAAGGGGGAGTGAAAAGGGCCAATCCGAAATCAGAGACGCGAGCATTTCCAGATTGGTCTAAAAGGATGTTGGTGGATTTAACATTGCCATGGGCGAGCCTGAGGGACTTGCAGGAGTTGTGAATGAAGGAGAGTCCTCTAGCCGCTCCGGCGGCAATCTTCAACCTCGTCGTCCAGTCCAACGGCGTCCGTCCAGGACCCCTGTTCCCTGTAAAACGGTCAAAAAACCATTACTATTCTACGGACAAATGGGCGGGCCACTGAGAACAATCAATGGGCTATCTCAATCTCATCCTTTCAGGTCATTTTCATGGAAAACAAACGAAATCAAACAATTTAAATAAAGGGCGAGCAGATAAAGTAAAGACAGAATTATTTATTTGGTAGGGCATGGCACTCTGTTCCGTCATCTATGAACAGTAGAATTCTAAAAATCCACATTCCAAAATCGCAGATAAGCTGCTACTAATGCGACACTTTCGATACGGCCATATAACTATTGCTCTCTTGTGTCTGGGAATTCACACAAAATTATAAACCCTAAAACATAATCCATGTCTGTTCTTAGACTATGAACAAAATGGATGAACACTGTTCTTAGACTATGAACAAAATGGTTTAAAAATATGAAAACTCAGAAGAATCAAAGGCATTGTAATGATGGGTTTGATGAAAATTATACCGTGAAGAAGCCAGAAGAAGCTGCCATTGGGCATGTAATCATATACCAATAACTTCTCCTCTCTTGCAAAATAGTACGCTCTCAAGCTTACAATATTAGCATGTCTCAACCTTCCCAATACCTCCATGTGCTGCTCGAACTCTCGTTTTCCTCCAACCTGAGCATCTTTCAGCCGTTTCACCGCCACCACATTGCCGTCGTCGAGAATCGCCTTGTACGAAGTTCCGAACCCACCCTTACCGAGCATTTCCGCGGAGGCTCGAAGCAAATCTTCGAGCTCGAACTTCTTGACTCCCTCGAAGAACACCATCCGGCCTCTCTCTGTTCCGGCTTGGACTGGAAATGGACTAGAAGAGTAAACAATCTTCTCGCTCTCCAGAAGCTTCGACGATCCCTTCCTGTCTCGGGATTTGTCAGCAGAGTTTTTCCAGAAATAACAGTAGAGAAGAAGCGAGACCACTGCTAGCACCAAAACGTCGCCGAGAATTATGGCGATTAGTGCTAGAGAACCTATCTTTCCAGTGCTGTGATGGTGTGTATTTTCCGGCTTTGTTTCAGGTGAAACTCCGGGAAGGGAAGTCGGAGAAGATGAAACAGTGAGGTTCCGCGGCCGTGTAATGGGCGAGGCAATTGCCCCTTCGGATCCAGGTTCCGTTGGATTACTGACAATGCTCTTACAGCTCTGAAGAGGGGAACCACACAAACCCAAGTTCTGGGCGAAAGAAGACTCAGGAAACGTCGACAACGATTTGGGGATTTCGCCAGAGAGACCGTTCGCTGAAATATTGAAGTCCTGAAGATTCGGCAGGTTCAGTTCCAAAATAGAACCTGAAAACCGGTTATCTTCGAGGCGGAGAGTGAGAAGATGAGTCATACGGTTAACAGAAGCCGGTATCTCTCCAGTTAGGTTATTGTGAGAAAGATCGAGGCGGTAGAGCCGGACGAGAGACCGAAAAGAAGCCGGGAAGTCACCGGAAAATTCATTGTACGATAGAAACACGAGTTTGAGAGCAGTGAAGTTGGAGAGGTCGGGAATGGGACCAGAGAGACGGTTCCGCTTAAGGCTCAGCACTCGTAACTGAGTCAAAGCAGTAAGAGGAGCCATAGAGCCTGTAAGATCAAGATTCTCAAGAACCAACCTCGAGACCCTATTTCTGAGGCAAGAAACTCCATCCCAAGCACATGGATTAGAGGTAGAGTTCCATGTGGTGAGCTTATTCCCTTTATCAGACGCCGCTTTGAACGCCATTAGAGCGTCTAAATCTACATTCGAAGACGCATAAAGACATGTAAAGTGGAGTAAGCAAATATAGAGAGCCAAATGCGACAGCCGAGTGGACGCCGCCATTGCTGCTCTGCAACAAAACTCAGAGAGAGGGGGGAGGAGAAGAAGAAGTTTTAGACGCAGAGGAAAAAGAAGACGCGAGAAGAAGAGTAACTGAAATGGATGTGACAAGGGTGTAATTAATGGAAAGTAAAGGGGCGATATTGCAAATAAGTTATATTTTTTTTACTGGACCCTTCGCGTACGAGAACTGAAAAAGCTTGTAATGTCTGCTGTATTAACTGGGAGATAAAATTTATCCGAAAAGACAACAACACCCCTCTCTCCTACAAAATTACCGTTGGCTTAAAATTAGATACTTTTAATAATTTAGTGACTTAATAAATACTGTTTTTAAAAAATTCGTAATGAAATTTTAATTTTACGCACACGTGAATAAAGTATTTAAAATTGAAAATATTTACTTTAATCGGTTAAATTAAAATTAATCCCACGGATAAAATATATAAAAATTATCCATAAGTGAGAAATAAGATGATAAATACAAATTAGATTAAATTAAATAATTTATTCAAAATAAAGGACAGAAATAAGAATATATTCATTACTAAAATTACTTTAATTATGATTATTTAGAAAAATTTAGAACGAAAGAACTTAAATAGTTACTTAAATAGTTACGACAAATCTTAATTAAATTTGATATTTTGATTACGAGGTCAAAAGTTAAAAAAGGGAAAATTAGAATTTGGTTGAAAAAAGAATCAAAACAGAGGGACTAATGTCTATCTAATACCTTTATCAAAATTAAAATATTTGAAGATGTATGAAGTTAACTATACAGAGGATTTAGTTTATAAATTTTAATACATAGTAGTTCATTTAATACCACGTTTCCCCGCGGGAAATTAATTTAAAAAGACTGCAAATGCAGTTTAGGGCAGCGTGAGAATCACGCTCCGAAATCATACGAAGCTCCTGATGATCCGTACATAACACGAGACTCTGACGCGCGTGGCGAATTTCGAGAGCGTTGAAATGAATGCAATCCTTTCCCACGTGGAACCTCGCTAATTTCCACCTCCAACCTTTTAATTTGATTCCTCATTTAACCTATTATTCGTAATTAATAAATATTATAAAGCTGCATTCAATTATTTCGACTGCTTTCTTTAATATTTCCGACCGTAGCTGCTAAAGTGAGTGTGTTAAATTCGCATACTTTAATTTACTTATTTTATTTAAAAGAAAGGCATAAAGCATCTATTACTATATTATAAATTTACAACGTATAGTTTTATCCTCCGCCCTAAAGTTATCAAATAATAAAACTTAATCAAGGTTTAATCCATTAAGATAATAGTTTAAATCTCACACCTTTATATCTTATTTATATCTTATTACATGCTGCTCTCGAACAATTCCATGTTAGAAATCACGAACATTTTTAATAATATAACAAAGCTCTTATGACTTTACTTTCGGTTTTTAAAAAAAATATTATACCAATAAAGATAATATTTCTTATTTATAATTAGTCAACGTGGAATCCACCCAACAATTCTTAACAATATCTCTATATAAATAAATAAATAAATAAATAAATAAATAAATAAATAAATAAATAGAAGAGGGTCAGGAAGGTCAAAAGAATGGATGATTTAGACAAGTATTCTTTGGAAGCTGCACAGAGTATAGCTTTATTTTTCTACTTTTCCTTTTTAAGCTTTTACTTTCTGACGATAATACCCTTCCCTTTTCCCACCAAACAAATAGTATATATATCCATTTTTCATGATGACATTGGGCGGGTTGGTTCTTGTTTGGGGGCCCAAAACACCTTTTAGTTGGGCCCATCCTTGGTTTGGTCCAGTAACCAGCCTGCTTTCTTAAGGAATGGCCCACATGGCGGCCCAAAATGCCAATAAAATTGCTATTTAATAAATAAATAAATAAATAAACTTATATCATTCAATTCCTCCGAACACTGGCTATAGGCAGAAGGCAAGATTATAAACTTTGATTCAGAAACAAAATAAACAAATTATAAAAAAGGGCTTTATAATATACAGGCACAAATTTCAATTTCTGGTTTAGTTCAAGTCTTTAGCTTGGCTTCAATAATTAGCTATGTACTTCTGGCTCCTCGACCCATCTGTATCGAGCTACTCGACCCGTTGAAGTAGATCCAAAGAAGAGAGAGAACCAAGGAGTTAATATAATAAATGGAAGTGAGCTATGCCACTCTCACACCGCTGGGACGCTTTCCTTCCATGGCGTCCTTCTTGTTTCGACAATCGGCGCAAAGGAAAGGCCCTTGCCATGGCTTTGAGCTGGTGGAGAAGATGGAACCAGCATGAACAGAGATGCCTTCACTGGGAGCAAGATCTATTTGACATACAGCACAAGAGAACAGTCCGGGTGTGCCGTGTTTAGATCCACTCAACTCTACAGTTCCCAGCCTGCAGAAACATATGTATATATCAATTAATTCATTCTTCTAAATGAAATGTGCATGTCACACAAAAATTCTGTAAAACGATCCGACAATCAAATCGATAATTGAAGTACAGTGCAGCAGACGAACAATCATTGGACAAACACGAGGTATGTTCATCGAGAAGACTCGAGATTACAGTGTAATGACAATTACCATATTCAAACCTATGCCCATAGTTGTAAGATCCCACATCAGTTGGGAAAGAGAACGAAACATTGTTTATAAGAGTGTGGAACATGTCCCAGACATGTTGTAAAAACCTTGAAGGGAAAACCCAAAGAGGACAATATTTACTAGTAATGGGCTTGGGCTGTTACAAATAGTTATCGAAGCCAAACACTAGACGATGTGCCAGCGAGGAGGTCGCTGAGCCCTGAAGGGGAGTGGATGGAGGACGTCCCACTGAGATTAGAGAAGAGAACGAGTGCCAGCGACGATGCTGGCACCGAAGGGGGTGGATTGTGAGATCCTACGTCGATTGGAAAGGAGGACAAAGCATTCTTTATAAGGGTGTGGAAACCTCCCCTAACAAACGCGTTTTAAAATCGTTGAGGGTGACTTTTAACAGCAAAGAAAATTGTATGGCCAACCTTTCAGCAAGCATGGCGGAGCCGTCTTCGAATAATTCTTCGACGAAACCGACTGCTGACAGGCTCTTGGATAGCTTGTTAGAACTGTGAGACTTTTTCCTGAATAACAGAGATTTGAGTACGCTTTGTTTCTTCTGGGGAGAGGAAGACTGTAATGAATTATCTGGAGGAACTATGTCTACAACTATACACGTTGTATCATCTTTCAAGCCTCTTGTTCTCAAGGCTTCCTGAACAGATCATGGAAATGAAACTTCAAACCATTGCATTAAGAAGAAAAGATGCTGGAAACTGAAGTTTCCAATTGAAAATCGCTTAAATTACCTTCACAACTTGCCTAGCAGCTAGCTCTGCTGGTAGTCCACGGCAGGACTTTGCAGCCATATCTGATGATAGGGCATCCCAGATGCCATCAGAAGCAATTATTAGCCTCCCACCAGCGTTTGATAACTTAGAACACGAGCAGAGATATATTAGAGACGTTAAATTCGTGATTCCTAACAAAATGAAATAAGTTCCAAATGAGAATAGTGTAAATACCTTTACTTGTTTCACGAACGGAATTGGAACTATGAACTCCCCGACATCCATGTCTCCAATGGATCGAGAAAGGCATAAGCCTCCCGGCCAACAACGGAGCGGGCCGATCTGAAACATTCAAGAAAATATAGAAAGGAAATTAAACAACGTTCTTTGAACTTATAGGATGCTTTTATCTGGTCAACAGCTACAATTACTTCACCTCAGCACCACCAACAATGCTTAATCTTCCAATTTCCCCACCACTTGCAGTCACACGTTCTCTCCTGCATCGACCCCAAAATCACTCAGCCAGTTAGCACGAAGCAAATGGAAAGGTGTAACCGCCCGAACCCGCCGCTAATAGATATTGTCCGCTTTGACCCGGTACGTATCACTGTCAACCTCATGGTTTTAAAACGCGTTTGTTAGGGAGAGGTTTTCACACCCTCATAAAGAATGTTTCGTTCCCCTCTTCAACCGATGTGGATCTCACAATCCACCCTCCTTGGGGGCCAGCGTCCTCGCTGGCACACCGCTCGTTGTTTGGCTCTAATATCATTTGTAACAGCCCAAGCCCACCGCTAGCAGAAATTGTCTGCTTTATCCTGTTATGTATAGTCATAAGCCTCACGGGTTTAAAACGCATCTTCTCCACAACCGATGCGGGATCTCGCAAAAGGGATAGCAGTGGATTTGGAAAGGAAACATACTCTTCGACATTCTCTTCAAGCCGATGATCAACCGTTAAAGCAGAGACAGCACCACCCTGAGCATCTAAAATACACCGGGAATCTCCAACCGACGCTACTGTCACCGTCCATCCATCGATGATCACAAACGTAGCTGTAGTTCCAGAAGTTTCACCTGTAAAACATTCAGAACAAGCATCAAAGAATGATTATAGATCAGATGGTACAAAGCATTTATGCCAAATGACCAATCTTTGAGGGCAGTGAACAATTCACACACCTCTACTCTGAAACTCCTTGTCTGTCTTCACAAATCCAGCAACCAACGCTCGTGGTAGAGCTTGAAGCCACTCCTCCTGCCCGAGGCCACGGGGAAGTGCACCCAAGACATGACTCAACAAATGTTCCCTCGTGAAAATTGCTGCAGCATTTCCATTGTGTCCGTCAAATATCTGAAGGAGGTAGAACCCAATAGTGATCAAGCAACATAAAATCCTAATTCCAGTGCTCAAGAGATACCAGCTATAAGATCATGTATATCCAAACATATGAACATCCATCAATTTTAAAAGGTTTCTCTTAAGATCAACTACAACCCATTTGAAAAATCCAGCGAAACTCGTACAGTTCAGGAAAAGAACCAGAGCAATCCGAACAAGAGGAAGAGAACTTACAGCAAAAACAGAGAAAGTGGATGAAGGATTCCCAGGAAGTCGCTGACAATCAGTTTTCATGAGAAAATAATCTTCCCCCTTTCTAGACTGCGCTGCATTCCCATATCTTACACTCGGTTTCTCCAACCTCTCGCTCCTCGCCTCTTGACTGATCAAAGCAGCAAGAGGCACCAGATTGTGATTATGTTGACGCCGCCGCTGCCCTTCTCTGGAAGCCATCGACACCCCAGAAAATAAACTCCGGGGCCCAAGATTTTGATCCGATCGACAATCCGGCAAGAATACAGCGACCAAAATTCTTCACAGATTCCTAAACCTCTGAAGAAATTAGTTTAATGGGGTTTGTAAAATTCTGAGAAGACAGAGATCCAAACAGACAAAGAGAAGAGATCTGAATAAGACAGAGAAAGGAAAGGGAAACGCGTAGAGATGAGGAGGAATGAACTGTAAAAGATTACATATCTAGAAGCAGGAAATTGTTTAGAAATGAAAGGGATCCCCACAAAGATACTCGATTATAATAAAACAATAGAGATTTGTAGGCAAAACCCAGGTCAGCTTCTCGACGTTTTCCTCCGCCAAACCCCAAACCGACTCTCTTAAATTTCAGTACCCTTTGTTGGGTATGGAAAATGAAGCTTTTCCAGGTACTCAAAATGCTTCTATCTCAACTGGAAAACCCCTTCATCAATCACTATTGCACACAGTGAAATCCAAATTTTACAAACCCACTAACAATTTCTAGTTCATCAATGACGTCTGCTGCTAATTTCAACCTTCCAATCATAATCTCTTTTTCCTTTTTAATTAACTCAGCAAATGCCTCATTTTAAATCTTTTACGAACACGGCTCCTAAGATAGTGTCCACTTTTAAGTACAAGCTCTCTTGGTTTTATGCTACGTACCCTAAACAAATGGAAAAAGTATTCTTTTATTATAAATTCTGATCCTTCCCTAAATTAGGCCTATGAATTCTAACACAATTTTTGGCATTTTAGTGTTTTTTTTCTACAGTGCCATATAATTTTGATTGTTATTATTATTTATTTTGCATTTTAGAGAAAAAAAACATAATTATCAATAAATTTGGAAAAGTTTGAGAAAAGGGTATTGCATGGTACGGTGTTTGAAAACAGTAAAAAGGCCGACACGTGTGAGGAAAAAGTGAGCATGTTTTTTTCTGACGTGGAAATCTCTGGGACTTTGCTGCAGCACGTGCCACTGCCTCTTTAATCTTGCACTTAACATCACTTAATTGAATATTAGGGAAAAAAAAAAAGAATCAATTGGATTATTAAAATCTCAAATGAATAATTATAAATTTTAAAATTTTAAACTTAATAATTTGTTTAATTCAATAAAAACAGAGAAAAAGGCTTTTCTTATAATATAATTAACCATAGTTTGAGAGTATTTTAATAAATATAATTCAATAAGTAGTCAAAATATTTTATTTAAATAAAAAATTAATACCACATCAATTATTGTCTTTTTAAAATTTTGTGGAAACATTGCTTAAAGTGAACATATAATATAAATGGCAGTGGATGAGTAGGTAAAAATAAAAAATAAAAAATAAAAAATAAAATAAGGTCGCGAATTTCGAGAAGTGAAGGGTGTTTATGTCATTTGGGATTAAGTAAATAAAAGTAATTTTTTTTGTTAAAATAATAATTTTGGATTTAATAATATAAATTTCATAAATTAAACAGATTAGCATGTGATGATTTAATGCATGCCTAATAATTGCCTCAAATATGCCATTATTAATTTGGTTGCTTCCCGATAATTTTAGATAAAATACAAAATTTTAGGGTTAATTTAGTATAAATTTAATAATGATTTGAGTTCTATTAAACAGTAATTATTATTATTTATAAATTGTAATTTATCCCAATATATAAATTTTGTTAATCTCGTCTGCCATGTATGGTCGAACAAAAAGGACCCGCGCGCCCGCCCGCCCGAGTCATTGGCGTCTAGAATTATCTGCGCACTGTGGAGGGGCAAGAATCAAGTTCAGTGGGAGCCGAGATGGGTCTATTTTGCCTTCGATCCTGCTCTGTTTCCGAGTTCTGATCATACAAAATTCTTGCTATCAGCGATCGTTGATTTCTTCGAGTGGATTCTAATTGAGGGTCGCCTCTCATAATTTCTTCCTGCGAGGGAACCGGAAGCTTCCCACTTCGTTCGCCCAGAATCCTTAGGTTTGTCATATTTCTTCACCCTGTGCCTATCTAGTTAGGTCTTTCTGTGTTTGATGCTTCGAAGTAATGGGTGTTACGAAGCGATGTGTTTGCTGTATTTGCATGTATCCTTCCTGTTTCTGATCGAATGGACTTTGTTTATTGTATGGGATATTGTGTAATTTTAGTGGGAAATTATTGAAAAACAAGAAGAGAATGAAGTATTGGGGATTTGGTTTTTGTGAGCTCGTGCTGTATTATTTCTAGCTACGATCTTCACATTGTAAATCTTTGGATCAGATATACTGTTGGACGAGATAGTTACTTCACTTGATTTAATCTCCAACACCCATGGATTTTGGAGAAACCATGTTTCTTTTTTTCCCCAATCTAAAGAAACGAGTAACAGTTCATACTTCGACCTTTCCCTTGCTTTAGACTGAGGAGCGATTGTTGGGAGAGGTGATCATAGGTTTATAAGTAAGGAATGCATCTCGATTAGTACGAGAACTTTTGGGAAAACCCAAAGTAAAGCTTTGAGAGTTTATGCTCAAAGTGGACAATATCGTACCATTGTGAGGGTTGTGATTCCTAACATAAACAAGCTCCGATCGCATTTAACTCTGGTGGTTGACGTTTATGAATTCATTCCAAAATGTGGGAGTTTCGTTTTATGAACATTTATACTCACTGATTGTTTGGGCCATTTTCCACTTACATCTTGGTGAGATTAAGGGACATATAGTGATATTGAAGGTCCATGTACGTTTGTTTATCTGGTTAGATTAACAACAACGTCTTACATTTGAACCTTTTCATTTGTCTTCTGCTCATTTGGAATGAACCATTGTATTGAATTTTGGCGGCGAGTAAGAGTATTCAACTCTTAATGTAGCATTTTACATTCTTCAATGCTGTTTTCATGTCTAACAAATTGTTTGAGATTTATCCTCAACTTATTTCAATATGTAGCATTCATTAGTTATTTTCTCGAAAGTTTAATAAAACCGTTCGTATTCTTACAGATATAATATAGACTTGGAATAGTAATGTTGGGAAATGTTGAAGTGTAAAAGAAGGAATCAAAGGCAGAGGAAAAAACGAAAGTTGAAGGATGGACAGGGAGATTTTGCTATGGATTGGGCAGGGCTTCCTCGTGATATTCTTGTCATGATCTTTGAGAAGTTATCTCTTGTGGATTGCATGTCAGTCGATAGTGTTTGTAAGCAGTGGAGCAATATCCTTGCTGAACTTCCAAATTGGAAGAGGGGTGGATTTCCATGGCTTTTGATGTCAGGTCAAAAAGATAGAGAGATGAGAACATGTGCTAGCGTGCTAGACAATCAAAGTTGGGAAATGGAGCTTCTTGAGGCGTACGGAGCTTACGTTTGGGGATCTTTTCAGGACTGGCTAATACTGGTGAAGGATCTTGGCTGTTATTCTCTTGAAGTCAGTTTGTTGAACCCCTTCTCTACAAAGAGGATTAACCTGCCAAATCTTTGGAACTTCTATCACAAGATGGCTCTTTCAGGGTCTCCCGCTGAGGAAAACACAATTTGTGCAGCCATTCATAGTCAGAATCGTGAAATTGCCTTCTGGATTCAAGGCTCAAAAGTATGGCACAAGTATAGACTCGAAGGAACGCCTTTCGAAGATGCTATCTTCTGTAGTGGAAGTCTTTTTCTTCTCTGCAATGATGGTAACATTTTCCAGTTTGATGCAACAAGCATCGTTTCCAATATTAGAGAAGATGAAAATGCTACATCTATCTCTGAGATCAAAGCACAGTTCCATGAAGTTAGAAGCCTGGAAATTAACAGTCAACATGTGCTGAAGTATCTTGTGGATTCCTCAGGGGAGGTTTTGCTGGTCTGTAGGTATTACAGCGAGAAACCTGATGCTATACGTGAAACAATAAATTTTGAGATATATTCACTCGATCTTGGTCAGATGTCATGGGAAAAGGTCGATTATCTCGACGATCGGATTCTGTTTTTGGGCAAATGTTGTTCTAGATCTCTTTCTTCATCTGAACTTGGGATTGGTATCAGTAACCGTATATATTTCTCCAATGATGATGTTGCTCCTTGGTGGAATGAATGGGATTCTAATCATTTGAAAGGATTATCTTCTTTCTTTGGACTCGACAACTCCTCACGAAAAGACTGGGGAGCCTTCCACATCGACAGTGACATGAATGGAAATTTTTGTTTCCGTGGTAACCGCGACAATTGGGCACCCACCTGGTTCACAGCACCTCTATGGTGGTATAGCAAGAACATTGCTAGACAGACAAATCGATATCGATATCGATATCGACATAATTTGTGATTGACATCCAAACTAGTTAGTACGTAGTACTGGGTTTTGAGATGGTTGGCAATGAAAGAAGCTGAAGTTTTCTTTTTCTGGGTAGTGTCAAGTGATTTAGAATGTACACGCCTTACATGTAAATTGTTGAAAAGCTTCAAGCACAGCGTTTAGAACTGTGTAGGATTAGTGGTTGTGTTTTGTATATGCTTTTTATTTTGTTTATATACATATATCTATATATGAAATGCTGAGGGCGATGTTTGCTTAGTGTTGAAATAGCAGTGCCATGGCTGTCCATTTGAATGATCCTGGAATGAAGTTTTTGAATGATCCTGGAATGAAGTTGTTGGGAAAGAGGATAACAGACACGTTTATGTTTGTACTGATAGAGCTTTTTCTTAATTCCCCATCGTCTCGCTTGTTCATCATGTCTAACATTGTTGACGGTGTGTTAAAAAAACGCTCAACCAGAATCGTACATTTGAGTTCGATTGTGTGATGTCCCACATTGGTTGGAGAGGAGAACAAACCACCATTTATAAGGGTGTGGAAACCTTCATCTAACAAGAACCGACACGTTTTAAAGCCTTTGAGTGGTAGCTCGAAAGGGAAATCCCAAAGAAGACAATTAAAGCCTTTGAGTGGTAGCCGGAAAGGGAAAGTTCAAAGAAGACAATATGAAGCTCGAAAGAGAAAGTCCAAAGAGGACAATATAGTCAAAAGAGGACAATATCTGCTAGAGGGAAGCCCGAAAGAGAAAAGGACAATATCTGCTAGAGGGAGTCCGGGAAGCCCGAAAGAGAAAAGGACAATATCTGCTAGAGGGAGTCCGAAAAAGAAAAGGACAAAGAGAGAAAGTTCAAATATGACAATATCTGCTAGCCGTAAATGAGTTATTGATTTTAAATAAATAAAAATTTGAAAATTTTAATTAAATGATTGGAAATAAATAAATAAATAGCTGTGGCTTCCAGTAACTATTATTCATTTTCCTTTTCGTTTTTTTGAATCCTTAAATCCATTTTTATAATCACAAGAAGAATAACAATAATAATAAATATAATAATAAACGTAACGTTTGCTTCAATCGAACCCTACACGTGGCTCAAAGTGGTCCATCCAAACACCACGTTCCAGATCTCCTCCGCCTCAGATTTATTATTCTCTTTTGTCCCTCTATTTTTCCAATATTACACTTTTTGGAATTTGC